GGAGAGCTTTTCCTTAAGTTTCAAAGCTCACAAACCTTTCGGAATCTTAGCACTAGTTATGCTAAAAGATACTTTAACGTGTTTTGCTCTTAAGGAAGAATGATTGACCAAAGAGAGAAAAAAAGGAACTCTTTGTGAATTTTTAATAATACACCTTCTCAACAACTTCCTCACTTAAATACAAGAACTTTTTCTTAAAGCCCTATGGCTAAAATACTGAAAGGTAATTTTATAAGATTATAGCGATAATGTGTTTGTGTGTGTATGAGAGAGAGAGAGAGAAGAGTCACACTAGGAGTGCCAATTTGTTTAAATTCTTACATAAAAGAGAATCATTAGTTGTGCCAATTTATTTTCTAGAGGTTTGAGTAAATCAAATCATAAGTTTTTCATTCACTTAAGGGATTAAAACTGAAAAATCCTATGGACAGTTTTTGCAACAGGTTTGAGAAAATGTTTTAATGATTGAGTGTTTAATGTTTGTGTTTAGAACAAACGAGTGAGTTGTCTTAGAAGTAACGTGTAGAATTGCATGAAATTATAAAATAAATAAAGAAAATAGTAAACAACAATTGATTAAATTTGCCAAATTCAAAGGTGGGATGCATATTCTTACATTTCTCACAAATTCGTAACATTGGAACATAGATGTGTGAATTCTAAAAAGGAATAACTATGAAAACTGCAAACCCTTATTTCAGGAATAAACTCGAATTTTATACTAAACTTTAGTAATTTTCGATATCAATTAATTAACTCTTCACCTTTAGACTGTACACGATAGCATGATTTTTGTCATCTGCTATGAATTCAGGTGTCTTTAGTTTTTGATCTGCTGCAAACTGCTATCAATGTCGACAACTTTCCTTAAATCTCCTGACTGCTTCTGTCGAAAACATCTTCAAATTATTAAACTGCATCTCTCGAATATGCCAAATCACCGTAAATCTTTTTCAGGATTTAAAATATGTTTTTGAATAGAGAATGATCCTAATCTTGTGGATCTATTCCTGAGATTCTTCAAAATCAGGTTTAGTAGGTCTCTAAGAGATCTAATTCTTCAACTCAAGAATATACTATGTCTCAAAACGCCTAGTAGACGAGTCGAACTTATCTTAAATTTTTATTTTTTCATTTTAATCTTTTTATTATAATTTTTTGGAAATTAAATTTTTTAAAAATGCCTTAAAATTGAAGTTATATTTATGAATAATTAAAATTTTTTGGCACATTTGTTTGAAAAAACATGTGATTTTCACGACGCAAGTCTTCAATAAAATTTATTTATGTAATAAGATCTCAAAATTAGTATTTTAAATTATTAAATATCAATTAAGTTAGGCTATGATTACATTTGTTAAACATGCGATTCCACACACAATAGGATGTGAATAGTGGGAGTTTTTAATATATTTATCAAATTAATTTGGAAATAATTTTACAAATGTAAATCACGACGATTTTATAAATGTATACTAGGGAAATTTTTCAAATTCATAAATGAATATTACGACAGTTGAAACAACTTATTTCAACCTTAAACCGCCACTAATTTCATAAATTTGATATTTTTAATGTATATTACGACAATTGAAACTACCACTATTTTCAATCTTAAACCGCCACATTTAACTGTGAAAATTTAGGCGGTTTGCACGGTGTTAGGTATTAAACCTCCATTATTTTCCATGCGACAACAAAATTTATGGCGTTTTTAAAAACATCGTATTTGTAAATTACGCCAGTTGAAATCGTCACAATTTGCTTAAAATAACTGTCGTAATTTACCCATTTTTTTGTAGTAAAGCTTTTATAGCAGGCTAAGCACAAGAAACATTGTGAATATTTTTCTCTAGTTAATCTTTACGAACCTAAAAGGAGAGCTTTTCCTTAAGTTTCAAAGCTCACAAAACCTATCGGAATCTTTTCTCTAGTTATGCTAAAAGATATTTTAACGTGTTTTGCTCTTAAGGAAGAATGATTGACCAAAGAGAGAAAAAAAGGAACTCTTTGTGAATTTTTAATAATACACCTTCTCAACAACTTCATCACTTAAATACAAGAACTTTTTCTTAAAGCCCTATGGCTAAAATAATGAAAGGTAATTTTATAAGATTATAGCGATAATGTGTTTGTGTGTGTATGAGAAAGAGAGAGAGAAGACTCACTTAGGAGTGCCAATTTGTTAAATTCTTACATAAAAGATAATCACTAGGTGTGCCAATTTATTTTCTAGAGGTTTGAGTAAATCAAATCATAAGTTTTTCGTTCACTTAAGGGATTAAAACTGAAAAACCCTATGGACACTTTATGACACAGGTTTGAGAAAATGTTTTAATGATTGCACGTTTAATGTTTGCATTTAGAACAAACGAGTGAGTTTTCTTAGAAGTAACGTGTAGAATTGCATGAAATTATAAAATAAATAAAGAAAATAGTAAACAACAATTGATTAAATTTGCCAAATTTAAAGGTGGGATGCATATTCTTACATTTCCCACAAATTCCTAACATTGGAACATAGATGTGTGAATTCTAAAAAGGAATAACTATGAAAACTGCAAACCCTTATTTCAGAAATAAACTCGAATTATATACTAAACTTTAGTAATTGTCGATATCAATTAATTAACTCTTCACCTTTAGACTGTACACGATAGTATGATTTTTGTCATCTGCTTTGAATTCAGGTGTCTTTAGTTTTTTATCTGCTGCAAACTGCTACCAATGTCGACAACTTTCCTTTAATCTCCTGACTGCTTCTGTCGAAAACATCTTCAAATCTTCAAACTGCATCTCTCGAATATGCCAAATCACCGCAAATCTTTTTCAGGATTTTAAATATGTTTTGAAGAGAGAATGATCCTAATCTTGTGGATCTATTCCCGAGATTCTTCAAAATAAGGTTTAGTAGGTCTCTAAGAGATCTAATTCTTGAACTCAAGAATATACTAAGTCTCAAAACGGCTAGTAGACGAGTCAAACTTATCTTAAATTTTTATTTTGTTATTTTAATCCTTTTATTATATTTTTTTGGAAATTAAATTTTTTACAAATGCCCTTAAAATTGAAGTTATATATTTTTGAATAATTAAAAAAAATTGGCACATTTGTTTGAAAAAACATGTGATTTTCACGATGCAAATCTTCAATAATATTTATTTATGTAATAAGATCTCAAAATTAGTATTTTAAATTATTAAATATCAATTAAGAAAAACTTTTAGTATTCCTAAAAATGTTTTTATAAAATTTGTTTTTAGAAATACAAACTAATCCTTTATCTTGGCATATATAGCTCCTTTTAAAAAATATATTTTCCGTTTTAATATACCATAATTTCAATTATGGCTCCTTCATTTATATTTTCCTTTTTTCAAATATTATTTTTTTCTTAATTATGGGTGGTTTTACACATTTAGTATATAACTAATCCCATGTATAATGCAATTCCTTTAATCCATATTTTTAACTTATTACAGCCAAACATAGTTATTATATAAACATCCGTAGAAGATTCAATAAATAATAAGTTTTACTGGTGTTGTTTGTCAATTTGTTTTTTAAGAGAATATGGCAATTGGTGTCAACCGAGTACACTTTTTCATTGCAATTCTTTGCATTGCTTTAGTTTTGCATCCAGGTAACACACTTATTTATTTGCTACCTTTTTTTTCATGTATTTTTTAAAAATAATTTATAATATAATTGATGGCATAAACCCTTTTCAATCTAAAATTAGAACTATTCATGCTTACTCTGTTAATGATATTCGAACGATTTTTATTCATTGAAGTGATTCCTTTGAAAGTGAAACAAAGAATTTTGCTTCTATTTTTTGGAATATTTAAATTATTTTGGAATATTTGAATTAAAATTTTGGCCTACAAAACACCACAAACCAGTACTTTAATAAATCTCATTTTAATATTCTTAATATATCATTAAATTGTCCACTTGAAAAATGGTTATTTTAGTGTAAGTGGTAACTCCTTGTATTGTTTGTAGGTGGTGCAAGAAGATCCGATGAAATTACGAATGATGATCCCAAATATGATTGTTATGCAACAGCAGAATGTCCATTATCTAATGAAACTTGTTTACAAAATTGTCAACGACGAGGTTTGAGTACGGGCAGTTGTCATGGACATTCATGTTGTTGTCAATTAAATATATTGTAATCTCTATTACTTTGTACAAGTTAACGTACGAATAATACTATCACTTTGGCTTTCATCAATAAAAGTTAAAAATAAACACGTTAAAATAAATTTACATTGATCTCTATTTTAAATTTCACGTTTAACATAGTCTTAATTTCTCGTCACTTGAGGATAGTTTATCACGTTAAAAACCTTTGAACAAATATTAAGGAATTAAAATATGGATAAAACTTGGATATAGTTCTTTACGTGTGTTTTACTATTTTCAAATGAAAATATGACAAGTATATAATTTTATCTTACAAATGTAAATTTCTCTTATTTTCTTTGAAAAATAATAAGAACCACGCGTAAAGATTTGTACTTCAGTTTTTACCTTAAAATATACCTTTGAGCCAATTGCATTTGTAATGAAAATATTGAAACTTCAAGAATTTAAGAAAAGCTCTCTATGATAGATTACAAGAGAAAACAAATATTTTGGTTCAAGGTTTGTTTTCTAAAAATAATCGTATAACTGAATTTTTTTTAAAATTTATTTAACTCTCTTTTTTTCATGTCAAAAAGAAATTCATACAATATCCAACATTTCATCTTCCCCAAGATTAAATAAAACAAGAATCCAACATTTGATATTCACTAAGAGTGATGAGGGTTAATCTAATTAAAAATTTATTATATATTTTTTTATTGTAGATTGAAATGAAAACAATGTAAATTAAGAAAATTTTCATATTAGTAATATATATATATATATATATATATATATATATATATATATATATATATATATATATATATATATATATATATATATATATATATATATATATATATATATATATATATATATATATATATATATATATATATATATATATATATATATATATATATACCCTCTATTATTCTAATAATCGAGATGTAAAGTAGCGCCTTTAAAATGAATTAATTGTGGTTAGGGATCAAAGTTACTACAAGTGCAACCTTTTTCCTCGATGGAGTGAAAACTGAAAGGTAAAGTGGCGCACTTTTTATGGCACACTCTGTTACCTCACTTGTGAAACAAAAGTTACACCTCATACTTAACTGAGGTTACGTGTGTTTTTCCTTGTTGTGATGCTAGATCTGCTAGCTCAGGTATCGACATTGACATAATAGACATTATCTTTTAGATTTACAATTATGAACATAGAGGAATTGATTATCATATGATGACATAAAAAAGAAATTCTTTATTTTGAAATCAACATCAAACTTTCTTTTTCCCCTATGGTCCAAAGGAAATCTACTTTATCTACTACTTCTCTATTTATGATGTGAGTATAGATAACCAAACTGTAAATTTTATAGCTTCTCACAAATAAAAATAAAAATATAAATGAAGATTTTAAATTTAGCTATCATATTTCAAACATATCACCATTGAACGTTGAAGGTGCGTTTAGGAAAGATCTCTTGTTAAAAGTAATTTTGGAAGTCATCCTCCTCCTAAGACGATTTGTATTTAAAAAGAAGTTAGGCTATGATTACATTTTGTTAAACATGTGATTCCACACACAATAGAAAGTGAATAATGGGAATTTTTAATATATTTATCAAATTAATTTGTAAATAATTTTACAGATGTAAATCACGACGATTTTATAAATGTATACTAGGGAAATTTTTCAAATTCATAAATGAATATTACGACAGTTGAAACATCTTACTTTCAACCTTAAACCGCCACTAATTTCATAAATTTGATATTTGTAATGTATATTACGACAGTTGAAAATACCACTATTTTCAATCTTAAACCGCCACATTTAACTGCGAAAATTACGGCGGTTTGCACGGTGTTTAGTATTAAACCTCCATTATTTTCCATGCGACAATCGAATTTATGGCGTTTTTAAAAACATCGTATTTGTAAATTACTCCGGTTGAAATCGTCACAATTTGCTAAAAATAACTGCCGCAATTTATGCATTTTTTGTAGTAAAGCTTTTATAGCAGGCTAAGCACAAGAAACATTGTGAATATTTTTCTCTAGTTAATCTTTACTACCTAAAAGGAGAGCTTTTCCTTAAGTTTCAAAGCTCACAAACCTTTCGGAATCTTAGCACTAGTTATGCTAAAAGATACTTTAACGTGTTTTGCTCTTAAGGAAGAATGATTGACCAAAGAGAGAAAAAAAGGAACTCTTTGTGAATTTTTAATAATACACCTTCTCAACAACTTCCTCACTTAAATACAAGAACTTTTTCTTAAAGCCCTATGGCTAAAATACTGAAAGGTAATTTTATAAGATTATAGCGATAATGTGTTTGTGTGTGTATGAGAGAGAGAGAGAGAAGAGTCACACTAGGAGTGCCAATTTGTTTAAATTCTTACATAAAAGAGAATCATTAGTTGTGCCAATTTATTTTCTAGAGGTTTGAGTAAATCAAATCATAAGTTTTTCATTCACTTAAGGGATTAAAACTGAAAAATCCTATGGACAGTTTTTGCAACAGGTTTGAGAAAATGTTTTAATGATTGAGTGTTTAATGTTTGTGTTTAGAACAAACGAGTGAGTTGTCTTAGAAGTAACGTGTAGAATTGCATGAAATTATAAAATAAATAAAGAAAATAGTAAACAACAATTGATTAAATTTGCCAAATTCAAAGGTGGGATGCATATTCTTACATTTCTCACAAATTCGTAACATTGGAACATAGATGTGTGAATTCTAAAAAGGAATAACTATGAAAACTGCAAACCCTTATTTCAGGAATAAACTCGAATTTTATACTAAACTTTAGTAATTTTCGATATCAATTAATTAACTCTTCACCTTTAGACTGTACACGATAGCATGATTTTTGTCATCTGCTATGAATTCAGGTGTCTTTAGTTTTTGATCTGCTGCAAACTGCTATCAATGTCGACAACTTTCCTTAAATCTCCTGACTGCTTCTGTCGAAAACATCTTCAAATTATTAAACTGCATCTCTCGAATATGCCAAATCACCGTAAATCTTTTTCAGGATTTAAAATATGTTTTGAATAGAGAATGATCCTAATCTTGTGGATCTATTCCTGAGATTCTTCAAAATCAGGTTTAGTAGGTCTCTAAGAGATCTAATTCTTCAACTCAAGAATATACTATGTCTCAAAACGCCTAGTAGACGAGTCGAACTTATCTTAAATTTTTATTTTTTCATTTTAATCTTTTTATTATAATTTTTTGGAAATTAAATTTTTTAAAAATGCCTTAAAATTGAAGTTATATTTATGAATAATTAAAATTTTTTGGCACATTTGTTTGAAAAAACATGTGATTTTCACGACGCAAGTCTTCAATAAAATTTATTTATGTAATAAGATCTCAAAATTAGTATTTTAAATTATTAAATATCAATTAAGTTAGGCTATGATTACATTTGTTAAACATGCGATTCCACACACAATAGGATGTGAATAGTGGGAGTTTTTAATATATTTATCAAATTAATTTGGAAATAATTTTACAAATGTAAATCACGACGATTTTATAAATGTATACTAGGGAAATTTTTCAAATTCATAAATGAATATTACGACAGTTGAAACAACTTATTTCAACCTTAAACCGCCACTAATTTCATAAATTTGATATTTTTAATGTATATTACGACAATTGAAACTACCACTATTTTCAATCTTAAACCGCCACATTTAACTGTGAAAATTTAGGCGGTTTGCACGGTGTTAGGTATTAAACCTCCATTATTTTCCATGCGACAACAAAATTTATGGCGTTTTTAAAAACATCGTATTTGTAAATTACGCCAGTTGAAATCGTCACAATTTGCTTAAAATAACTGTCGTAATTTACCCATTTTTTTGTAGTAAAGCTTTTATAGCAGGCTAAGCACAAGAAACATTGTGAATATTTTTCTCTAGTTAATCTTTACGAACCTAAAAGGAGAGCTTTTCCTTAAGTTTCAAAGCTCACAAACCTATCGGAATCTTTTCTCTAGTTATGCTAAAAGATATTTTAACGTGTTTTGCTCTTAAGGAAGAATGATTGACCAAAGAGAGAAAAAAAGGAACTCTTTGTGAATTTTTAATAATACACCTTCTCAACAACTTCATCACTTAAATACAAGAACTTTTTCTTAAAGCCCTATGGCTAAAATAATGAAAGGTAATTTTATAAGATTATAGCGATAATGTGTTTGTGTGTGTATGAGAAAGAGAGAGAGAAGACTCACTTAGGAGTGCCAATTTGTTAAATTCTTACATAAAAGATAATCACTAGGTGTGCCAATTTATTTTCTAGAGGTTTGAGTAAATCAAATCATAAGTTTTTCGTTCACTTAAGGGATTAAAACTGAAAAACCCTATGGACACTTTATGACACAGGTTTGAGAAAATGTTTTAATGATTGCACGTTTAATGTTTGCATTTAGAACAAACGAGTGAGTTTTCTTAGAAGTAACGTGTAGAATTGCATGAAATTATAAAATAAATAAAGAAAATAGTAAACAACAATTGATTAAATTTGCCAAATTTAAAGGTGGGATGCATATTCTTACATTTCCCACAAATTCCTAACATTGGAACATAGATGTGTGAATTCTAAAAAGGAATAACTATGAAAACTGCAAACCCTTATTTCAGAAATAAACTCGAATTATATACTAAACTTTAGTAATTGTCGATATCAATTAATTAACTCTTCACCTTTAGACTGTACACGATAGTATGATTTTTGTCATCTGCTTTGAATTCAGGTGTCTTTAGTTTTTTATCTGCTGCAAACTGCTACCAATGTCGACAACTTTCCTTTAATCTCCTGACTGCTTCTGTCGAAAACATCTTCAAATCTTCAAACTGCATCTCTCGAATATGCCAAATCACCGCAAATCTTTTTCAGGATTTTAAATATGTTTTGAAGAGAGAATGATCCTAATCTTGTGGATCTATTCCCGAGATTCTTCAAAATAAGGTTTAGTAGGTCTCTAAGAGATCTAATTCTTGAACTCAAGAATATACTAAGTCTCAAAACGGCTAGTAGACGAGTCAAACTTATCTTAAATTTTTATTTTGTTATTTTAATCCTTTTATTATATTTTTTTGGAAATTAAATTTTTTACAAATGCCTTAAAATTGAAGTTATATATTTTTGAATAATTAAAAAAAATTGGCACATTTGTTTGAAAAAACATGTGATTTTCACGATGCAAATCTTCAATAATATTTATTTATGTAATAAGATCTCAAAATTAGTATTTTAAATTATTAAATATCAATTAAGAAAAACTTTTAGTATTCCTAAAAATGTTTTTATAAAATTTGTTTTTAGAAATACAAACTAATCCTTTATCTTGGCATATATAGCTCCTTTTAAAAAATATATTTTCCGTTTTAATATACCATAATTTCAATTATGGCTCCTTCATTTATATTTTCCTTTTTTCAAATATTATTTTTTTCTTAATTATGGGTGGTTTTACACATTTAGTATATAACTAATCCCATGTATAATGCAATTCCTTTAATCCATATTTTTAACTTATTACAGCCAAACATAGTTATTATATAAACATCCGTAGAAGATTCAATAAATAATAAGTTTACTGGTGTTGTTTGTCAATTTGTTTTTTAAGAGAATATGGCAATTGGTGTCAACCGAGTACACTTTTTCATTGCAATTCTTTGCATTGCTTTAGTTTTGCATCCAGGTAACACACTTATTTATTTGCTACCTTTTTTTTCATGTATTTTTTAAAAATAATTTATAATATAATTGATGGCATAAACCCTTTTCAATCTAAAATTAGAACTATTCATGCTTACTCTGTTAATGATATTCGAACGATTTTTATTCATTGAAGTGATTCCTTTGAAAGTGAAACAAAGAATTTTGCTTCTATTTTTTGGAATATTTTAAATTATTTTGGAATATTTGAATTAAAATTTTGGCCTACAAAACACCACAAACCAGTACTTTAATAAATCTCATTTTAATATTCTTAATATATCATTAAATTGTCCACTTGAAAAATGGTTATTTTAGTGTAAGTGGTAACTCCTTGTATTGTTTGTAGGTGGTGCAAGAAGATCCGATGAAATTACGAATGATGATCCCAAATATGATTGTTATGCAACAGCAGAATGTCCATTATCTAATGAAACTTGTTTACAAAATTGTCAACGACGAGGTTTGAGTACGGGCAGTTGTCATGGACATTCATGTTGTTGTCAATTAAATATATTGTAATCTCTATTACTTTGTACAAGTTAACGTACGAATAATACTATCACTTTGGCTTTCATCAATAAAAGTTAAAAATAAACACGTTAAAATAAATTTACATTGATCTCTATTTTAAATTTCACGTTTAACATAGTCTTAATTTCTCGTCACTTGAGGATAGTTTATCACGTTAAAACCTTTGAACAAATATTAAGGAATTAAAATATGGATAAAACTTGGATATAGTTCTTTACGTGTGTTTTACTATTTTCAAATGAAAATATGACAAGTATATAATTTTATCTTACAAATGTAAATTTCTCTTATTTTCTTTGAAAAATAATAAGAACCACGCGTAAAGATTTGTACTTCAGTTTTTACCTTAAAATATACCTTTGAGCCAATTGCATTTGTAATGAAAATATTGAAACTTCAAGAATTTAAGAAAAGCTCTCTATGATAGATTACAAGAGAAAACAAATATTTTGGTTCAAGGTTTGTTTTCTAAAAATAATCGTATAACTGAATTTTTTTTAAAATTTATTTAACTCTCTTTTTTTCATGTCAAAAAGAAATTCATACAATATCCAACATTTCATCTTCCCCAAGATTAAATAAAACAAGAATCCAACATTTGATATTCACTAAGAGTGATGAGGGTTAATCTAATTAAAAATTTATTATATATTTTTTTATTGTAGATTGAAATGAAAACAATGTAAATTAAGAAAATTTTCATATTAGTAATATATATATATATATATATATATATATATATATATATATATATATATATATATATATATATATATATATATATATATATATATATATATATATATATATATATATATATATATATATATATATATATATATATATATATATATATATATATATATATATATATATATATATATATATATATATATATATATATATATATATATATATATATATATACCCTCCGTTATTCTAATAATCGAGATGTAAAGTTGCGCCTTTAAAAATGAATTAATTGTGGTTAGGGATCAAAGTTACTACAAGTGCAACATTTTTCCTTGATGAAGTAAAAACTGAAAGGTAAAATGGCGCACTTTTTATGGAACACTTTGTTACCTCGCTTGTGAAACAAATGTTACACCTCATACTTAACTGAGGTTACATGTGTTTTTCCTTGTTGTGATGCTAGATCTGCTAGCTCAAGTATCGACATCGACATAATAGACATTATCTTTTAGATTTACAATTATGGACATAGAGGAATTGATTATCATATGATGACATAAAAAAGAAGTTCTTTATTTTGAAATCAACATCAAACTTTTTTTTCCCTCTATGGTCCAAAGGAAATCTACTTTATCTACTACTTTTCCATTTATGAAGTGAGTATAGATAACCAAACTGTAAAATTTATAGCTTCTCACAAATAAAAATATAAATATAAATGAAGATTTTAAATTTATCTATCATATTTCAAACCTATCACCATTGAACGTTGAAGGTGTATTTAGGAAAGATCTCTTGTTAAAAGTTGTTTTGAAAGTCATCCTCCTCCTAAGACGATTAATATTTAAACAGAAGTTAAGCTATGATTACATTTGTTAAACATGCGATTCCACACACAATAGGAAGTGAATAATGGGAGTTTTTAATATATTTATCAAATTAATGTGTAAATAATTTTACAAATGTAAATCACGACGATTTTATAAATGTATACTAGGGCAATTTTGCAAATTCATAAATGAATATTACGACAGTTGAAACAGCTTACTTTCAACCTTAAACCGCCACTATTTTCAAATTTTATATTTGTAATGTATATTACGACAGTTGAAACTACCACTATTTTCAATCTTAAACTGACACATTTAACTGTGAAAATTACGGCGGTTTGCACGGTGTTTAGTATTAAACCACCATTATTTTCCATGTGACAACCAAATTTTTGGCGTTTGTAAAGACATCGTATTTGTAAATTACACCGGTTGAAATCGCCACAATTTCCTTAAAATAATTGCCGCAATTTACGCATTTTTTATAGTAAAACTTTTATAGCAGGCTAAGCACATCAAACATTGTGAATATTTTTCTATAGTTAATCTTTACGACCCTAAAAGGAGAGCTTTTCCTTAAGTTTCGAAGCTAACAAACCTATCAGAAACTTAGCACTAGTTATGCTATAAGATATTTTAACGTGTTTTGCTCTTAAGGAAGAATGATTAACCAAAGAGAGAAAAAAAGGAACTCTTTGTGAATTTTTAATAATACACCTTCTCAATAACTTCCTCACTTAAATACAAGAACTTTTTTCTTAAAGCCCTATGGCTAAAATAATGTAAGCTAATTTTATAACAATATAGCGATAATGTGTGTGTGCGTATGAGAGAGAGAGAGAGAGAGAGAGAGAGAGAGAGAGAGAGAGAGAGAGAGAGAGAGAGAGAGAGAGAGAGAAGAGTCACACTAGGGGTGCCAATTTGTTTAAATTCTTAAATTAAAGAGCATCACTAGGTGTGCCAATTTATTTTCTAGAGGTTTGAGTAAATCAAATCATAAGTTTTTCGTTCACATATGGGATTAAAACTGAAAAATCCTATGGACACTTTTTGCAACAGGTTTGAGAAAATGTTTTAATGATTGAATGTTTAATGTTTGCGTTTAGAACAAACAAGTGAGTTTTCATAGAAGTAACGTGTAGAATTGCATGAAAATATAAAATAAATAAAGAAAATAGTAAACAACAATTGATTAAATTTTCCAAATTTAAAGGTGGGATGCATATTCTGATATTTCTCACAAATTCCTAACTTTGGAACATAGATGTGTGAATTCTAAAAAGGAATAACTATGAAAACTGCAAACCCTTATTTCAGGAATAAACTCGAATTATATACTAAACTTTATTAATTGTCAATATCAATTAATTAACTCTTCACCTTTAGACTGTACACGATAGCATGATTTTTGTCATCTGCTTTGAATTCAGATGTCTTTAGTTTTTGATCAGCTGTAAACTGCTACCAATGTCGATAACTTTCCTTAAATCTCCTGAATGCTTCTGTCGAAAACATCTTCAAATCTTCAAACTGCATATGTTGAATATGTCAAATCACCGTAAATCTTTTTCAGGATTTTAAATATGTTTTGAAGAGAGAATGATCCTAATCTTGTGGATCTATTCCGGAGATTCTTCCAAATCAGGTTTAGTGGGTCTCTAAGAGATCTAATTCTTGAACTCAAGAATATACTAAGTTTCCAAACACCAAGTAGACGAGTCAACTTATCTTAAATTTTTATTTTGTTATTTTAATCCTTTTATTATAATTTTTGGAAATTAATTTTTTTTAAAATGCCTTAAAATTGAAGTTATATTTTTGAATAATTAAAAAAAATTGGCACATTTGTTTGAAAAAACATGTGATTTTCACGATGCAAATCTTAAATAATATTTATTTATGTAATAAGATCACGAAATTAGTATTTTAAATTATGAAATATAAATTAAGAAAAACTTTTAGTATTCCTAAAAATGTTTTTATAAAATTTATTTTTAGAAATACAAACTAATCCTTTATGTTGGCATATATAGCTCCTTTTTAAAAATATATTTTCCGTTTTAATATACCATAATTTCAATTATGGCTCCTTCATTTATATTTTCCTTTTTTCAAATATTATTTTTTTCTTAATTATGGGTAGTTTTACACATTTAGTATATAACTAAATCCCATGTAAATACTCTTTAATAATTGTAAAAAGTTGTGCATTAGATTTGTTTTCTCCAAGACCCAACCTTCTTAGCTCATCATCATTGTGACAAATTTTGCCGCATGGGCAAGAAAGGGAAGACAAAGAGAATGGACCCCTTCCTAGATTCAACTGATTAGAATGAAACGGCTGAAAAGAAAGGTTTAGTTTAGCAACTCTAGCTCCATGTTGGACCAGCTCCACCATAACATCATCCGTAGAGGAATTATCCTTATCAAAACTATAATAATTATCGTAATCATCATCACCATCGAGTACAAATTCTACAAGATTCTTGATCATTTCAAAAGTTGAGTCTGGAGGGCTATCCAAATCATCTTCAATCAGATTGCTTTCAGGGGAAGACATGAAACTATCAATACTAGGTGGAATTTCCACTTCAAGGGTCCAGAAAGGTTTGTCATATGTAATCAAACTGTCCTCATCGGGAAAATTAAAACCAAAGATAGAACTTGAACAATTTTCGAAGCTTGTATTGGAAGACTTAAGTTCTAAATTCTGTTGAATTTGGACAACATGGATCAATGGAGGTTCAAGATACACACAAGACTCCCAAAGCTCACCAATCCTTGGAAATTTCGTCGGAGAAACATATGTACACTCAGAAGATCCAGATATGTCACTCTTTAGTGAGCCATTACTATCTCCACTTGAAGAAGATAGTGCCTGAAATACAGGGCCTTAGTTCGAATGCCTAAATCTACCTTAGTTCATTAAGAAACAAAACCAAATTTGAATGCCTAAATTACCTTATTAGTTCATCAAGAAACAAAACCAAATTTGAATGCCTAAATTAGCTTATTAGTTCATCAAGAAACAAAACCATATTTGAATGCCTAAATTACCTTATTAATTCATCAAGAAACTAAACCATATTTGAATGCCTAAATCAATCTCAGTTCATCAAGAAACTAAACCATATTTGCAGATAGTATAATAACCTAAGTATTGTACGTAAAGATAATTAAAATCAAACCTTGTTGCGACACGGAGGCAGATACGGTTTATTACTCTTATGCAGCAGATTGACATTATTATCCAGAACATTTGAAGCAGAAACATTCTTGCTAACAGAATCTGCAGTAAATGCTTTTGTTAAAACAGTTTACAATATTATTCAAAGTAATAGCAAGAAGATAATGAATTAAAGAGTATATACCTAGTTCACTATAAGGGGAGGGTAGGAGATCAAGAGAACCTTCATACATACTGATCAAGAAAAAGTTACAAATTAAGCAATCTATACATAAGAAAAACACAATGTAGAAGAGAAGAAAGTTTCTTGTGTATTACCAAGACATTGCTAACTGAAGCTCCTTTGATACTTTCATCGTTCTGTAACTACCAGCTTTAGCTTTAGCTAAAGAGTGAACAAACTTTCTTTAATTTTTAAATTCTGGAAAAATTACGGAAGGATTCAACGACCTCTTGACAAATATTGGTGACTTCATTTTATTTTTATTTTTCATTTTACATTTTTTTTAAATTTTTAGTTTATTTTGCATGTTTCTTTAAATTTTAAAAAATAGTTTCTGACTTTAAAAAATTCCAAAATTTTTTGTCAACACTTATTAACTCATGTTTGACTTATGATTTTTTTTTGAGATTTTTATTTGGTGTTTTAATATAGTTTGTGTATTTTACCAATTATTTCCCTTTTATTAACCATTTGAATATTGTATTATTAAATATTATTTTATTATTTTTGTTTTGTCCTGATTTGGATGTTATTTTGGGACAAGTTCCTCAACCTCATTGGATCATGGGTGATGATAGATTGAAAAACCAAATCCACCAAAATGGATGAATTATGTTGATGATATTTGAAACCCTAATTTCATTTAATACATCCCCTCCCTCTTCATCTTATCCATTTTCTACTTGTGCGACATGTTGTTGGAGAATAATTTACATATCATTTCTCTAAGTGTGGGCTTCTATGACCGATTGGATGATTTTCAGACCAGTTCAATGAAATGCAGAAAGAAATGAAGGCTCTTCGAGGAAAAGACTTATTTAGACAGCACGTTAGTGAACTCTGCTTAGTTCCTAACGTAAAAGTGCTAGTGATGTTATAGGGGCCAGAATTTGAGAGGTACAAGGGAAACTCCTATCCCCGTGAACATCTGGTGATGTATATAAGAAAGATGTCCACCCATACCGATGGCCATCGCTTGCTTATTCACTTCTTCCAGGATATTTTAACTGGTGCCGCTTGTAAATGGTATATGGGTTTGGACAATAGCAATATTTGCACCTTCACTGATTTAGGTGAAGCTTTTATCAAGCAATATAAGTACAATATGTCTATGGAACCTGATCGTGACCAATTGAGAGTGATGGCTCAAAAAGATAAATATTTGTTCAAAGAATATGCTCAGCGTTGGCGCGAGGTTTTTGCCCAAGTGGTACCCCCGATGGGAGAGGAAGAAATGACCGAGGTCTTCTTGAAAACTCTTGGATCATTTTATTATGAAAGGATGGTTTCTAGTGCACCAAGTTATTTCCCTGAGATGGTAAGTATGTGTGTTCTTCTAGAAGAAGTTGCCGGAGAAGGACGTTTGAAAAAAGACGAAGGAACAAAGAAATCCTCATATGGGTTTTTTAGAAAGAAAGAAAGCGAAACAAATGTTGTCATTGAGGAAATAAATTTTAGGCCATTAAGAAGACATCATCGGTACCAACAACAGGTTGCTTTTGTGACTTCGGTCTTCAATATAGCTATGACTGTTGTTTCTTATTAGAGACCACCTCCTCAAGGTAATCTAGGGCAAGGTCAAAGGAGAGAAGCTTTTGACCCTATTCCAATGAGTTATGCATAATTGTTTCCAACTTTAATTGAAAATAAATTGGTGCAGACAAGACCTCCCCCTGCTATACCTTCACCTTTGCCATGGTATTACAAGGCGAATCAGACTCGTGTTTTTCATCAAGGAGCCACAGGGCACAACATTGAAAATTATTATCCCTTGAAGTTTGAAGTGTACAAGATAGTGAGATCTGGTCTTCTATCATTTAAAGATGTCGGTCCCAGTGTGAAATATTATCTACTACCCAATAATGGAGGTGGAAATGCCGTAAATATGGTTGCTGGTTATCCTGGGGACTTCCAGATTTTTTACATCAACCTAGTCAGAGGGGATTTAGTAAAGATGCATGCTGATCTTTGTGAATTCAGCTATTATACACATGACCATGCTGGTTGTAGTATTTGCAGTACAAATATCCATGGATGTGTTAAAGTGAGAGCTGATCTACAAGAAATGATGGATGAAGATCTTATCCACATAATCAGAACAATGGATGAATATGAAGAAGAGGTGGATATGGTTTATGGATGTCCCAGTGAATTCAGGATTTTTGATGTGAATTATATCAATGACAATTTGGTACAGCAGCACGCTACTTTTTCACATGGATGGCCAAGAAAAACATCATTATGGGTCGTGTCAGATCTGCTATAAGGATTCTTGTGGTTGTTCTATCGTAAGAAGACGTGTTCAATTATTTATAGATAATGGTAGCATCAAAGTCACAGGAAATAAAGATGATTACAATGGAGTTAATGTGATTGAATATTACTCAATTGAGTCCATGTCTGATGATGAATATGTTTCTACTGATGAGTTCCATTCTTCTGATGAAGGTATGTTCTCCGTTAATGATTTTGCGATGCCTAAATAATATGAAGTGGTGGTGAATGTCATCGTACCATGTTTTGGTGTTCCTACTCCTGTAGAGATTGAGTATCATAACAAGCCTGCTATTACTCCCGTGCTTATTTGTGCCTAGTATTGTCCCATATGAATCAGACAAAGCTTTGCCGTATAAGTACAATGCAACTATCCTGGAGATAGAGTGGAACTTCCTATCCAACCTTTGTCCCATGTCGAGATCATTTTTGAAGCTAGTAGAGTAACTCGTAGTGGTCGTGTCTTCGCCCCTACCTTTTGAGGGGATGTTAATTTTGATAAAAACCTTGTTGAGAAGGTTGAACCTAAGAAAATGGTAGGAGAATCTAGTGACGCTGCCTTGCAAAAGTACGTGGATAACTTGTTGAAGATCATCACGATGAGTGATTACAAGATTATGGATTAGTTGTTGCAAACTCCATCTAAGATTTCCATTCTAGCCTTTCTATTGAACTTTTCTGCTCATCGGGAATCTATGATGAGAGTGTTGGATAAGGCTTTTGTTGAAAGTGATATGTCTCTGGATCAGTTTAGCAGTGTTGTGGGGAATATTACATCTTGTAATAATCTGAGCTTTTGTGATGACGAGTTTCTTGTTGAAGGAAGAAACGATAACCTAGCTCTCCATATTTCCATGAATTGAAAGAATGACTCTTTGTCCAATATGCTGATTGACAAAGGATATGCTTTGAATGTCATACCAATGAGTACACTCATGAAGCTTAAGTACCAAGGAGCTCCCATGCGCCCAAGTGGCATTGTAGTGAAAGCATTTGATGGTTCGAGAAAGTTTGTCATCGGAGAAGTAGATTTTCCTATTCATATAGGTCATCATTTATTCCAGATTACGTTCCAGGTTATGGATATTGTCCACGCCTATATATGTTCATTGGGACGACCATGGATCCATGAAGCAGGAGTCGTTACTTCAACTTTGCACCAGAAGTTGAAATTTGTTCGTGAAGGGAAGATAATCATTGTGAATGGTGAGCAGGCTTTGTTGATATCTCATTCGTCTTCCTTTAGAATTGTAGAAGTTGATGAAGCCATTGTTGGAACTCAGTTCCAAGCTTTGTCCATTGATAATATAAGGAAGAATGAGAATTATATCGCCTTATTTAAGGATGCACAGTAGGTAGTGCAGAAAGGCCCTAGAAAGGTGTGGGGGCAGGTTATTAATCCTCTTGTGAACAAGAATGACACTGGTTTGGGTTTCTCCAAGAAGAAGGAAGTCGTGAAGCCGAATCCCGCCTTGAGTAAATGTCAAGACATCTTTCACAGTGCAAGTTATCTTCATCCAACTACTCCATGGATCAACGCTATTCTCGAAGATGAATCAGAGTAAGAAATGCCAAACTTTGTGACACATGGAGTCAGAGTCCTAAATTGGGTCACTTTTGATGTTACTTCTTGCATTCATATTTAAAAGTAATTTGTTTTTTGTTAGTCTTTTCAAAAATCTTTCACTCCACCCAAGGTGAAAGTATTGATGTTGTAGGGGCATATCTGTTGTTTTAATTTTTAAAATCATTAATAAAAGTTGTTTTTGATACAAAAATTATGTCTTTATTTTCTCCTTTTTCTTGGAAAATAGTAATCAGAAAAATCCTTTGGAAATAAATAAGAGCTATAAATAAATCTGCATAATTACTTGTTACATGTGTCAGTTTCTAAAATCAATCATAAATCACATGTGTAAATTAATTAAAAAACCCATTGAGTACAATGACCCGACAACCTCTCAAACCTTTCAGCACCCTGTGTATGTGGCTGAAGAAGAAGAATATGATGAAATCCCAGAAGTAGTTTCACAGTTGCTTGAGCATAAGGAAAGCACCATTCAGCCGTATAAAGAGTCGTTGTAGATGATTAACTTGGGTTTAGAGGAAGATCCAAAAGCAATCAAGATTGGGGCAATACTTTATTCCAATGTGAAGAGCATGTTGATTAAATTGTTGAAAGAGTATGTGGATATATTTTCTTGGTCTTATCAAGACATGCCTGGTTTGGATATTGATATTGTGGAACATTATTTACCTCTAAACCCAGATTGTCCACCACTCAAGCAGAAGTTATGAAGAACCCACCCCGACATGGCACTGTAAATTAAAGAAGAGGTTTTCAATCTAATGGATGCCGATTTTATTTTGAAATCAGTATACCCTCAATGGATTGCCAATATTGTTCCAGTACCAAAGAAAAACGAAAAAGTCCGCATGTGCGTTGCTTATAGAGATTTAAACAAAACTAATAAAAAAATGACTTTCCATTGCCACATACTGATATGTTAGTTGATAGCAAAGCAAAATTCAAAGTGTTTTCATTCATGGACAGATTTTCCAGATACAATCAAATTAGAATGGCTCCTAAGGACATGGAAAAAACAACATTTATCACACCCTAGGGAAAATTCTATTATAGAGTGATGCCCTTTGGGTTGAAGAATGCTGGTGCAACATACCAGAGTGCTATGACAACCCTATTCCATGATTTAATGCATAAGGAAATTGAGGTATATGTTGATGATATGACTTCCAAATCTCAGACTGAGGAAGGGCGTATAGAAGATTTGTTGAAATTGCTTCAGTGCTTGAGGAAGTATCATCTCCGCTTGAATCCAAATAAGTGCAATTTTGGTG